GGCCAGTGGCTTGACCTTTTCACCTGTAACCCATGGTTTAAAATATATTTTATATTGTGCCCTGGGATACAGACATGTTTATGTACATCTGTGTTCTATTTTATTTCATTTTTCCAAAATTATGGTTATAATACCCTAAATTGATTTTACAATCTACCAATGGGCTGCAATTTACAGTTTAACACACCCTGACGTAGAATCGCAGCAGTTTGCTTACCTCCCCACTCCCAACCTCACTAAGTCTGTAACAGTGGGTCAATAGGTAACACTTCAGAGGATATGTACCGAAACCCTTAAGGGCAGGAGTTGTAATTTGCAAAAGAAAATGCTGCAACAAAGGTGATTCTGATATCTCCTATATGTTCTACTGAGTTATTATAACAATACTGAATATTTATAGACATGTACCGTACATAAAGCACACAGCTGTGGCTCAAATGAGCATGGCTCACTGATTTGGTACTCATATTTACATTAACTTGGAACCCTCAAAAGTCCTTAACACTTCAAGTATTTGCACACCTCCATGACATTACACACACTACTCTCCTTGCTTGGAGTGTCCTCCATATACCCTTTCAACAGGCAAATGCCCACTTATAGTCATGTATATAAAAATATATACATATACCAAAGACAGTCAGGTAGCACTTGGGTAGTAGTGATACTGGGACCAGTTTATGAGCCTCTGCAGTTACTCTGTTTCCTGGTCATGATGGTCCCAGCAACCACCATGGTCATTGCTGCCAGCTCACCCCACAAACTCTGGCACAATAGCTTGGCCCTCACTCTTTGATTTGTTCTCACTCAGAAACAGTGGAAGTCAGGTTCATGGTTTATTTAAACAAGGGAAAAGATATGTCTGAGCAGGATGACCCACAGGTTTTACAACCACATGGCCTTCCGATTAAGAAAGCACCTTCCGTCCTTGGGTGCTCATGGTTTTCTCCTCATTTCTCTCCTACCTGAGAAATAAAATACAAGGAAGGCACTGTTAGGATCCCCACCTTAAGGGTAAGGAAACAGGAGCATAAAGAGATCGAATAATTATTGCAAGGCACTTAACCAAAATGTAGCAGAGCCTATAGTTTGAAAACTTCTCTGGAGATTAAAATATGCTACTTTTCTCTCCTGTCATATTAAGGGGGAAAAGACTACAAATCCAATTTGTGCTTGTCTATGTACTCCTCCTGTTTCTCCTGCCTTCTCACAAAGGGGACTCAAACCTGTGTGTGTGTATATGTATGTGTGTGTGTGTGTGTGTGTGTGTGTGTGTGTACTCTCAATCAGCACTCTCAAATATATTGGGATTCTAAAATATATGTGTATGTATGCACATTTTATAGGCACGTACTACTGTAAAATATACCATGTAAATTATAAAACAAACACACAAAAACATAAATTCAAAAAGCATGAATTTTTAAATTATAAGAAAACGTTCTAATACTTTTTCTGTACCCCACCCCCAGCATATTACCCTGGACATTGTATTTTGGAGACCTGCCATAAAGTATCATACTTAATAGAAAAACATATTTTCTTTCATATATAGGAAAACTATTGATCCACAATCAATATTGTTTACTGGGTTGCTTCTCAAACTGTGATGTTGTCTGAATGTCATATGCCCCAGGATCCCATTCAAGACAAGCATTTGCAGTTTTGAGACGGCTAATTCTCCTTAGGAAAGCGGACTGCCACCACAGGTTGTAATCTGACTAATGTGTTCTTGGAACCGCGGAGCTACTGAAGTTTTCGGGTATGATGTCAGTAAGGAGTGATGAAAGGATGACTGGATTAACAACAGATAAAAGTTCTAAATAAAAAATAAACAAACAAAAGTTCTAAATAACTTGACCTCTGCCTAAAATAGCGATGGGCCTTGAACAAAACATTTAATAGTAACGGGTCCTTTGATTAAATTGCTTTTGCATGTATTTAATATTAATTCCACTGATATGTTACTAGCCCTATGAAATAAGCATGGCTGGTACTAGCCCTTAATTTTATATAATAAATGAGCCAAATCTTAAACAGGGTAAATGACTTGCCCACATGGTAAGAGGCATAACTGGGTTTCACAATGGTATTTTTGACTCATATATTATCTTACCTTGCTTAACCTTTTTGGGCTTCACTCCTTTAAAATAAACTTCCTGTTTTAGAACAGTCTTAGGTTTTTAAAAAAGTTGTGAAGATGGTCCAGGTGGCTCCCAAATACTTGACACCCATTTTCCCCTTGCCGGCACAAAGTCCCACAGACTGGGTGGCTTAAACAACAACAGTTCATTTTCTATCAGTTCTGGACGCCAGAAGTTCAAGATCAAGAGGCCCTTCTGGGGCCTCTCTCCTTGTCTTGCAGAGGGCCTCCTTCTTGCTGTGTTCTCACATGGTTGTCTCATGTCTGTGTTTTGTCTCTGTCCTAATCAACTCTTCTTACCAAGGACACCAGTCATATTGGATTAGGGCCCACCCCAATGACCTCATTTAACTTAATGACTTCTTTAAAGGCCCTATTTCGAAATATAGTCACTTTTTGAGGTACTAGGGTTAGGACTTCAATATATAAATTTGGATGGGGACACAAGTTAGCTCCTAACACCTTATGATTGATGTTTCATATTAATATATTTGTCACAATCAATAAACCAGTATTGATACAGTATTGTTAACCGAAGTTCATATCTTATTTAGAATTCCTTCATTTTCACCTAACAACCCTTTTTTTGTCCCAGATGCTATCCAGGATACCACATTACATTTTGCCATTGTTTTGTATTTAAGTGTTTGTGTCCTCCCGAAATTCATGTTGAAGTTCTAACCCTAATGTAATGCTATCTGGAGATGACGTCTTTGGAGGGAATTGGATTGATATGAGGTCATGAAGGTGGGACCCCTGTAATAGGATTAGTGTCCTATATGAAGAGAAAGAGAAACCAGAGCTTGATATACACTGGCACCTTGATCTTGGACTCTCCAGCCTCCAAAACTGTAAGAAATAAAAGTCTGCCGCTTAAGCCATTCAGTCTGTGGTATTTTGTTATGGCAGTGGACTAAGACAGTTATCATGTCTCCCTGAGCAACTCTTGACTCTGACAGTCTTAAAAGTTTCTTGTGTTTGATTACCCCAAGAGTTTTAAGGAGCACTGGCCAGATATTTTGTAGAATGTCCCTGAATTGGGATTTGTCTTTTTTTTCTCTCTCTTTAATAGTCTGGGGTTATGAGTTTTTGGGAGGAAGACCAGCAAGGTAAAATGTCATTCTCATCACGTCCTATCAAGGGTTCATACCAACAACATATCCTATCACTGATATTGCTGACATTGATCACCTGGCTGAGAAACAGTTTATCAGGTTTCTCTACTTTCTCTTTTCTCCTCCTTTCCATACTGTATTCTCACTTACAGAGTGAGAAGTTATAGAACTTTACATATGTTATCTGTAAAACAGCAGGACTGGATTAGTCCATTTCTAAGTCATCTCTAGTGTGTTCCTTATAATCAATGAGAAGTACTGTCCTGATTAAAAAGGAAATCTGTATTCACAGAACTGGGTGAGAGAGCAGGATCACTTAGGTTCAAACCTTTAGTTTTAACCTTCTTAGCACTCATTCTGAACAGAGGGACTACAAAAAAATCACTGTGAAAGTAGCAATTTAATGATCTACTTTTTTGTAAGTTGGCACTCATGTATTGATCAGCCTTGGACACTGTGTCCAGACTCAATTCTGAAAACTTGTGGAGGGTTGGAGAGGAAGGGTATGTTTGTTCTTCACACTGATGATGACATGGTTGGTCATAAAGCGATACTCAGTCATTTTGTTGATTGCCGATCAGTTACATCAAACACAAGAAACTCTTAGACCACTTTCTAGAACCAACGGGTAAAATTTACTAGAAATTTTGTCTTGAACACAAACTCTGTGTAGTATACATTTCTTATTTTAGCACAGAGTGCATGCATTGAGATTCTACCAACATGAAGATGTAAAATAAGGCAAAATAAATGAATGTTGAATGGAAATTAAGGTCTTTAACGTTTATCTATGTGAATTATTCTTAAAATGTGAAGAATTGCTAGGCCTTTTATATCTAACTTCTTATTTCCTGCACCAGCTTTAAATATACTGTCCTTAAGAAATTCTTAAAAGTTTCCAACTACTGTGTGAATTATGGAAAATTTTCTCTTTAAATAACCAGAACATTAATTTGTTGTTCTTTAACAGGATTTCCTTTTTAATGATTACAAAAGCTCATCTGTCCGTGATATATAGCAATGTATCCATACAATATGAAATTGTATTTTACCCATAAACAGTCTTCAAACAAGACACACAGTTTTCTCGCTTATAGGCTAATTAAAATAAAATTTAAACCCACATTAAACTTGATTTATATTGTCAAAATACCCACATTTTTAAAGGGGAGGCCTACAATGTTAATTCAGAAAGAGTGATACTTTACTCTTCAGCCAATAATAGCTTCAGTACTGATAGTAACTTCAGCTAAAAATAGCTTCAGTAGTCTCAGATTTTTTAAATCATGTCAATGCAATCATGCTTTTATGTCCTCATAATTTGTCATTTGTGGAAAAGGAAACAAATGATGTGTCCTATAAATAAGATGATTTTTTTCTAAATGATGATGTTTCTAGGCTTTCCAAGTTGGTGAAATGTTTTTCAGTAGCATCATTTGGCTTATAGGCCACATTGATTCATATACTGCCTACATTACATATTAATGGTAGTTTCTTTATTACAAAATATTTAAAATGCACAAAGACACATAGCGTACTATAATAAATACCCCTACATGTCCACCTCCAAGAATAGTAACAATTGTGTGTTTTTGTTTTGTTTTGTTTTTTGAGACAGAGCCTCACTCTGTCACCAGGCTGGAGTGTAGTGGCACCATCTCAGCTCACTGCAACCTCCGTCTTCTGGGTTCAAGCAATTTTCCTGCCTCAGCGTCCCGAGTAGCTGGGACTACAGACACATACCACCACACCTGGCTAATTTTTGTATTTTTAGTAGAGACAGAATTTCACCATTTTGGCCAGGATGGTCTCCATCTCTTGACCTCATGATCTGCCCATCTCGGCTTCCCAAAGTGCTGGGATTACAGGAGTAAGCCACCGTGTCTGGCCACAATTGTGTTTTTTAAAAATAAAACATCATACTTGAGTTCCTTTCTATTTCATGGTCATTCCCTTTCTTCCTCAGAAGTTATCAGTGTGCTGCAGTTGATGTGCATCTTACTCTCTTTATCACATCTGCCCACAACCACAAATACCAGAGGATTGTGTTTTGTATTTTAACATTTAAAGAGTATCATATTTTGTGTATAATTCTATAGCTTACTTTCTTGACTCCATATGTGAATTCAAAAGAAATTAATATTACTGCATGTAGTTTATATTTGACTATTTAGTATTTTGTCATGTAAATAAATCAGAATTTGTTTATCTACTTCCCCTATAATGAGTTTTAAGTCATTCCACAAAGTTGACTCTTGAAAAGGCTGCCAGAGTGAACATCCTTGTGTGTTCCTGTATATGTCACTTGTGGCAGTTTTTTGGAGAGTACATATCTAGATGAGGACTTGTTGGGTTGGAAGACATAGTTAACTTCAATTTTACCAGATATTTCCAAATTACTCTTCGGAGTGATTGTAGCAGAATTCACTCCCAAGTAAATGAGAATTTCCGTTTCCAAATAGCCTCACCATATCCTCAGACATTTTAAATATTTACCAATCTGATATTCTTCTTTCTCTCATTTTCCTGATGACTACCGAGATTTAGCATTTTTCTTGCTTTTTCTTGTTTCACTTTACCTTCTTTTTCTGTAAATTACTTATTGCCTTATCTTTTTATTGCTTCATAAGAGTTCTTTATATATCTTGGGTATTAATGCTTTGGTATGCACTAGTAAGTATCTGTTCCCAGTTTATAACTTGCCTTTTAATTTAATTTTTAAAGTATGTGTTGACTAAGAATTTATATGCTAGTTATTTAACTTTGTTCATGCAATCTATTATTCTATAGATAATTTAAACTTTGGAACAGCCATGTATATCTCTAATTTCATTTTGTCTTTCAATCAACTCTAATAATTTTCTCAGCTGAGATGATCTTATATGAGTTTCATTTATTTTTAACTATATTATAGTTTTTGTTTTTCTTTTTTAATGAGTTTTTTAAATTTGCATTTTCTAAATGACTTTTTGCTAGTATACATGAGCACTATGGATGGTGGGACATTAGTCTTTATATGCAGCAGCACTGCTGAACTCTCTTGCTTTTCCCTACAGGAAAATATATAAAAATAACAATTTTTCTCCCTTTTCAAAATTAATTCCTATTTTCTGTCATATTGCATTCATTAGGAACTCCACTACAATGTTGAATAGCAATATTCTGTCTTCTTAACCTTAAAGACAACGCTTCTACAGTTTCCCTATTAAATATGAAATTTGCTACAGTTTTGGTATATGCCCAAAAGATGTACATGTAATATATATCAGCCAAGATTTAGAGTTGGGGGTAGCAGAAGCTCATCCCAACTATCTTCAACTGAAGTTGGGCAAATTTGATTCTTTAGAACACTGCTGAGAATTCCATTACGGGTATCACTGCTTCTTAGTACTCAGTACTAATTCCATCATGTTCTCACTTCCATAGCTACCAGAAAAACTTCTCCACTGTTCTTACATCTTGTCACTCTCTTGAGAGTCAAAGGCCTAGATGACAGCATTCAATTAGCTGGCGCTAGGAACTAACGTGATTGAGCTGGTTTTTCCTTTCTTGTACTATTCAGGCCCAGTTTTGGTGTCAAGATTGTATGAACTTCGTAAAATGAATTGAGGCACTTTTCTTTTTCCTTCCCTTCCTTCCTTTTTTTTCTTTTCTTCTTTTTTTCTGAAATTGCTCAAGAAGAAGAATATCAGTTTTTTGAAAGTTTGATAAATTGTAAAACCATTCCGGCTGGTGCTTTTTCAGGGACAAGGAAAAAATAGACGAAAATAAATAATTTATTCAATTATTAGTTGTCTGCTCAGCCTTTGCTGTTTCTGTTTTGGTCATTTATTTTTTCTGGACACATCAATTTCTCTTAATTTTTAAAAGCTTTGAAGATAAAGCTATTCATAATATTCTTTATTTTTCCAAATTTGTACAGTATTTATAGTTACAACTTCTTTTGCATTCCCAATACAATTATGTATTGTGCTTCCTCTTTCCTTTAGCCTGATCAATTTTGCTAGATGTTTATCTATTTTATTAGTTTTTTCAAACCAGTTTTTATACTAGTTCATCAGGTTTTTTAAATTATGGTACAATATTTGTGGCCTAAAAGGAATTGTAATTAGAATTTTTAGTCATGTGTTGTAACTACTAGGAAAAAGTTTATTTTTCTGTTTTAATGACATCAAAAAGTCCCCTGGAAAATATGAATTAAATGTTTTTCCTATGTAGCTTTTATAAGAAAAATCTTAACAGATGTACACAATTTTTGAGACATATAAGTAGGTTTTTTTCCACCAATAAGCAGGCGTGTATAATGGATTTGTAAGTGCCATTGTGATAAACTACAAAGATAAACACACACGTTCTGTTCTCTAAGAGTTTTCCAGCCAATAAAAATTTACAGCTACTCTTCATTGTCCACTATATTCTGTTATGAGCAGTGGGCTTTGGTAAGTTCTCATGACATTGGGCACTGGCTTCTGGCTTCCAGGGTAAGTAAGTGACTCACCTGGGCCCCACAGCCAGTGAGCATCAGAGGTGATATTCCATCCTGCAAAGCTCTTTCTTGATTCCAGACCACACATGTGGCCCAAGGATGGATATTTACTCTGCCCTTTTAGAGCTCGAGAAAACATTGTTTAGTGGTCTGGCATCATCTGCATTTACTTGATTTGATTTGGGATAGAGTATAATCCTAGTCCTTGATGAAAGAATTTTGATGAGTTAATCTTATGGGGTGATGGTATTTATGGGATTATTTCCACCCTTAAAATGATTTGTGAAAAAAAAATGTGTACTAATGCCTAATTTAGGATTAAGACACATATGAAATCCATCATAATTTGAGAAATGCAACAAATAATCACTTCTAAAATATCTTGTTGCTTCAGTTATTCTAGTCCAAAAGCCAGTTGGAAATCTGTTCTATATTCATGGCTTCAGCCCTCTTGGGAGAGGGAGCTGTTTTTCACTTGCTTGTTGTCTTGAAAAGAAGTAAAAGCAATGCCGGGGACGATCTCCTCAGAACCCTAGAGGGTCTGCCTTTAAGGATGTGTTTGTCCCCTCAGAAATGAGAAACAAGATGAGCTGAGTTTAGGGGTCAGACCAGAGGAAATGGCTGGAAATTAGAGGTCTCTTGGCTAACTCACATAATTCCAAATAACAATATTTCTGTTGGGTGTCAGAATCAAGAATGGTGGGAAATTTGTATCTAGGGGATATAAAAGAAAAAATGAGATAATATATGCAAACAGCTGAGTAGAATGCCTGAAATACAATAATATCCTTCAGTAGATTCCTTCTCCAATTTGACCTCCTCTCCATCTCATGTTTGGCTTTCCTCTGGACCAGTACAAACCCTGAGAGTTTGATTGAACAATAGCACGGTATGGTCAGTGCTACCAGACTCTTTAACATGCCTTGTTCTCCACAATTTCATTGAAAGGGAGCAGAATGGCAACAAAACCAAGGCTAACACTTTATCCTAGAATTCCCACACCATGTAGGAAGCATAAAATAACTTAGAGACCTGATGATAGTTCCTGCAGCTATTAGTCATGATGTGTTAGTAGAACACAATCTCAGAAAGTTATTTCCTAAATGCTTTCCAAAGCCTTGGTTCTTCATGCAGATAGTTTTCGCCAACCGTAATGACGGTGAAAAACTAAAGAATTTCCAAAAGAACCAGAATTTATGCTTTAAGTTTAACTTTGTTTTGGATTGAATGTTCCTTAAAAATAAACCTTCACCTGATTCTTATTTTCATTTTAATTCCATGGGCTGGTGATTTCAGTGTCAGGGATCGAGTTCTTAGAATCTGTTTATGTGGTGTGAACACAGAAATGGTCTGATTCTGAGTTTTAGGATCATGATCAGAGTTTTGATATAAAGTCAAAACCTCGCTGAGCCATGTGTTATTTTTTGAAGCATAGAAATTGGACTTTGCAAACAATCTAAATCCTTTTGTTTGAGAAATTTTAAGCATTGAGTTTCTTGCCATGAAGTTTTACACTGTATCTAGAAAGTTTCTTTGAAAAATTGTCCTGTAAACCTAAGTCTGACAAAGAAGTCGGCTAGTGAAAGGGAAAAATGATAATTATGTTTCATGGCAAGGGGGAGCAAAAGGAAGGGGAAAAGTAATTATTATCCATTTAGCACTTTATATTAAATTTCTAATGCACAATTTTCAAGACTGGCAAGAGTTTTGGTTTGTTTTAACCAAATATAGTTACAATATTAGATACATGTTCTAAATCCAGCATGTGAATAGCACCTCTTTAAAAATTTTAAAAAAATTTAAACTGATAAATATATGTATTTATGATGTACAACATGATGCTTCAGAATATGTATATACTGTGGAATGGCTAAATGATGCTAATTTACATATGTATTACCTTAAGTATCATTTTTTTGTGGTGAGAGTACTTCAAATCTGCTGTCCTGGAAATTTACAAGTGCACAATGTTATTAACTATAGTTACCATGTTGTACAATAGATATCTTAAATTTAGTCCTCCTCTATAATCGAAATTTTGTATCCTTTCACCAACATTTCCTCGACTTCTTATTCCCTTATTCCCAACCAGTAACAATCATCCTACTCTCTGCTTCTATAGTTCAGTGTTTTTAGATTCTGCGTATTAGTGAGATCATGTGGTATCTCTCTTTGTTGTCCTGGCCAGTTTCACTTAACATAACATACTCTAGTTTCATCCATGTTGTTGCAACTGACAAGATTTCTTTCTTTTTTAAGGCTGAATAGTATTCCATTGTGTTTATATGCCACTTAAAAAAAAAAAATCCATTCATCTGTAGATAGGCACTTCAGCTGATTCCAAATCTTGACTATAGTGAATAATGCTGCAATAAAACTGGGAATGCAGATATCTCTTCCACATACTGATCTCATTTCTTTGAATATATACCCAGAAGAGGGATTGCTGAATCATATGGTAGTTCTATTTTTAAATTTTTCAGGAGCTTCCGTACTGTTTTCCACCGTGGCTGTCCCAATTTGCAATCCTACCAAAGGTCCACAAGTGTTCCATTTTCTCCACACCTTCGCCAACATTTATTTCTTGTCTTTGTGTTGATAACCATCCTAACAGATTTAAGGTGATCTCTCACTATGGTTTTGATTTGTATTTCCCTGTTGATTAATGACATTGAGAATTTTCAAATATTTCTATTGGCCTTTTGTATTTCTATATGTCTTCTTCTGAGGAGTGTCTCCAGATCCTTTACCCATTTTTAATCGGTTATCTGTTTTCTTGCTATTTTGTTCAAGTTTCTTATATATATTGGCTATTAGCCCCTCACTAGATATATAGTTTACAAATATTTTCTCCTTGTCCGTAGGCTGCCTTTTCATTTTGTTGTTTCCCTTGTTATGCAAAAGCTTTTTAATTTGATGTAATTCTACCTTTTGTTTTTTTGCTTCCTTTTATTGCCTGTGCTTTGGGGGTCGTATTTAAAAAATTATTGTCAAGGAGCTTTCCCCTTTTTTTTCTTCAAGATTAATGTCAAAGAGATTTTCCCTCTGTTTTCTTCTAGTTTGCGGTCTTATGTTTGGATTTTTAAATCCATTTTGAGTTGATTTTTATATATGGTATAGCGGTCTAGTTTCTTTTTTGGTCATGTGGATATAGTTTTCCTAACAGCACTTATTGAAAAGACTATCAATGTATTAAAGAAAAGTTTTGGTTTGTTTTATCTAAACACAGTCACAATGTTAGATGTGTGTTGGAAACCAGCATGTAAATGTCACCTCAACAAATTTTAATAACAGAGGGGATGGGAACAGTAAGGGGATGAGGAAATAAACAGAATGTAGGATTTAACAATCAATGTGATATTAACACAGTTATGCCTGAGGTTGCAATTTTTTGAATTTTTGCAATCAGACCTTGGCAATGACCTTGAGCAGTAGGATATAAATAACCCCCACACACTTAGCGTTCCAATAATGGAACACTAGGCATAAATGGGTTTAAGGGCACTTGAGGTCACAGATATAAGCTAAGAAGGGAATTAAATGAGAGCAATGCCTTGCTTTTGCTCTTTTTTCTTTTTTTTTTACTTTTTTTAAATTTATAATTTTCAATACAGGAATATAGAGCTTTCGCTCATTTTAAAAGTTTCAACTAATTCTGATGTTATTCTAACATTCTGTGATTACAGGATGGTAAGTTTGCATGGTGGAAGATGAGATTGGGCACCAGGATAACAGACCCAGGGAGCTCAGTAGAGCTCCCAGTAACCTAAGAGCACCAGGAGTATGTAAGGAGTGGAGAGAGTGCACAAAGTAAAACCTGACCCACTTCATAATTTCAGCTAGAGTCAATCCTGCCTGGTACTTCAGAGTTTTATTTCTCGAAACGTGACCCCAGAACAGCTTGCACCCAAATTCCCTGTGGGTCTGTTAAAAATGTAAGTTCCCAGAAGACACTCTAAACAGAACCCATTCTCAGAACCCATTCCCAGTGGAATCATAACAATGGGAATGGGTTCTGAGGAGATGCATTTCAAACAGATAGTCCAGGTAATTGTTAGGTAGTCTCATGATTGAACCTCTGCACCAAAGACTGGAAAGTATAAGTTAGAAAAGAATTTACAAGCACCACACAAAAATAGCCGCTGCTCAGGCCTCTACATCTCATTTGTGGTGTCACTTCCCCTGGGAAGCCTGATCACCCCAAATGCTATATTGTATGATTCTTTTTTTTTTGAGCCAGAGTGTCGCTCTGTCACCCAGGCTGGATTGCAATGGCACAATCTCCACTCACTGCAACCTCTGCCTCTTTGGTTCAAGCATTTCTCCTGCCTCCGCCTCCCGAGTGGCTGGGATTACAGGCACCTGCCACCTCACCCAGCTAATTTTTTGTATTTTTAGTAGAGATGAGGTTTTACCATGTTGGCCAGGCAGGTTTTGAACTCCTGACCTCAAGTGATCCATCCACCTTGGCCTCCCAAAGTGCACGAATTGCAATAGTACTTAACACACTCTATTGAATTGCTGGCTTTTCTTTCTCTTTAGCCCATGTAATCCACTGTCATTCATCTCCCCTGCTTACCACAGAGCTTAGTTCATAAAAGCTGCCCAATAAATGTTCTTTAAATTAATAAATGACTTCATGTCTTACTGTTCCAAAATATACTCCTTAACCTGCCTGAATACTTTCACTTCACCTTGCCTATGATTTCATTTGGTATATCTGAGAATTTTAGTTTAAATAATGAAATCAGACAGTTATCCAATGGGGTCAATTAATTCCACCTTCACTTTTGCAAAGGTTGTAGAACAGCTACCCATAGAGAATGAGGAAGCAGTGATGGAGGTAATCTTGAAACACAATTTTTAGAGTTACATTGGTTCTGGGTGCAGGCAAACTGTAAATGGGTAAGTGCTGTGTGGGGGACACCAGCACCAAGGATTTGGAGGGAAGGCCCCAGAGAGTTATGAAAGGGGGTACAGGGGACAGGGAAGAAAAGGAAGATGTAACCTACTTATCTGAAAATTTTACCAGGAAATGAACCTGCACTCAGGGTCATGGTGGGAGAAAACACTCCTCCTCCTTTGATGGCTGTGACCGCCTCACATCCTGAACACAGAGCTCAAGCTGCTCCTAGTCCTACTACATGAATAAGTGAAATACGCTTTGAGGAACTGGTCTGAGAATTTGATCACCCCATGAAAAAATGCATGCAAAATCCCAGAAAACATTTCAAAACCTTTGGAATCCAAGCAACTCAGAAATTGAGCAAAGCCAAGATTAGATTTGTCTTACAAATCAACTTAGTGAAAGCAGATGTTAGTCGTGAAGACAAAGGTCAGGATGCTAGAGACATAACAAGAGATATTTCATGAGAAGGAAACTAGATGTGGATTGAAAGGCAGAAGAAATGAGAAGAAAAAAGGTACATGGACATTTTTAAGCAATTGTCACCAAATGACCAAATTTCTCAAACCCCGGACATATGATAAATCATATAACATGAATAGGCTCACTCCAAATTGGTGGCATGCAACATGGCGAAACCCGTCTCTACTAAAAATACAAAAATCAGCTGGGCATGGTGGTGTGTGCCTGTAGTCCCAACTACTCAGGAGGCTGAGACAGGAGAATTGCTTGAACCCAGGAGACAGAGGTTGCAGTGAGCTGAGATTGTACCACTGCACTTCAGCCTTGGTGACAGAGCAAGACTCCATCTTAAAAAAAAAAAAATTTGGTGGCATGAGCTATATATAATGATGGTGACTCCAGTTTTGCCAAGATAAAAGCAACATTGAACAGGCAAGAAAATGTGGATGGGTTGGTGCAAGCCAATCATCAATTCTAAAATAAAATAACATATTTATTAAACATGTGTCTGTGTGTGTGTGTGTGTGTGTGTTACACTTAGTCACATAAAAGATATTTAATAAACATTCTTGAATGGATAAATGACTGAATGAGCAGCTACTATGTGTCAGATGCTAGAAATAGCTAAAATGTTCTAAAAGACTATGAGGAATTAGTAATTCCCTTTAGAACAGAGGTCCCCAAGCCTGGGGACATGAACCAGTACCTGTCCATGGTTTGTTAGAAACCAGGCCACACAGAGGAAGTAAGTGGCAGGTGAGCGAGCAAAGCTTCATCTGTATTTACAGCTGCTCCCATCACTCACATTACTACCTGCGCCCTGCTTCCTGTCATATCAGCAGTGGCATTAGATTCTCATAGGGACATGAACCCAATTGTGAACTGCACATGCGAGGGATCTAGACTGTGTGTTCCTTATGAGAATCCAATGCCTGATGATCTGAGGTGGAACTGAGGCAGTGATGCTAGCACTTGGGAGCTGCTGCAAACACAAATTAACACTGGCAGAGAGGTTTGAATGCAAAGAGACCATAATAAATCAATTGCTTGGAGACTCATATCAAAAACCCCGAAAGTGAGTGGCAAGTGACAAGTAAGATGTATCTGGTGGCAGGCTTTATAGTGGCAAGTGAGTTAATGTGCTTCAATTGTACAGCTGCATCTGGTATCCTTAAAGGTATGTTTGAAACAATCTCAAATCTCCATATGTTCTGGGTTGAAGTCAAGGCAGAGTATCCCGAGGTTGCCACAAAAGCACTGGAAAGCCTGCTTCCGTTTCCAACATCCTATCTTTGTGAAGCAGGGTTTTCTGCTGTGACAGCAACCAAAAGGATACTACAGAATAGACTGGACATAAGCGACACACTTCAGGTGTCACTGTCTCCCATCGCCCACAGATGGGACCATCTAGTTGCAGGAAAACAAGCTCAGGGATCCCGCTGACTCAACGTTATGGTGAGTTGCTTAATTATTTCATTACATATTACCATGCAATCATAATAGAAATAAAATGCACTCAATGTAATATGCTTGAATCATCCCAGAACCATCCCCCCTACCCTGTGGAAAAATTGTCTTCCATGAAACTGGTCCCTGGCACCAAAGAAACTGGGACCACTTTGCTTATGAGTCAACCACGGAGGCTCAGCTTCAGTGTTTCCTCCCCTGTAAAGTCTACCATCACCCTAATTAGTTACTATTCCACTGAAGAGATCATTACACCATCTTACACTGGTTAGATGTTTTACCTGCTCATCTTCATCACTAGGATAAGGGGAAAAAAGATTCTGGGTTTGTTCCATATTTGTTTTCTCCAAATCTGCTTGTATTAGGGAAAGGGAGAAAGGAATGGTGTCAGAAAGAGAAGAGAGGATAGGAAGCAGGGAAAGGAGAGTAAAATGAGGTGAATCATGTTCTTTTACCCCAAGGAAACTATATTGCATGGTGGGTTTGTTGTTAGATAACCGAGACCCTGATTCTACTTTACATTAATGGACATTGTTTAATTACATGTATTGCTTTACAACTCCGGAAAGAAATGTATAAATTTAAAATGTTTCAGATCAATTCTTTATTTTTACGACATTTCTTAAAGCACATTGAAACCACTCAGCACACTTTTAAATATGTGAAATGTATGATCTGAGTCATGATAAAAAAGAAATTTTATAGGTAACAGTGTCAGTAAATACGTGGCTGCACTTTCAGCGATGACCTACTTTTATTATTTTCTGAGTTTACAACCTGAGTTATCAAGACGTGACATTATTCAATAGTTGGCACATGGCATCCAATGCATGAACCTGAAAGTAGGCTTTAAAATTACAGTAATTACTGTGGGCATGATAATTTTATGTGTCAACTTGTGTTGTGTGCCACAGTGTCCAGATATTTGGTCAAAGAGTATTCTGGGTGTGGCTAAGGGGTTGTCTTCAATGAGATTAACATTTGCATTAGCAGACTGAGTGCTATGATCTGAATGTTTGTGTCCTCCTCTTCCCAAAATTCATATATTGAAACTAACCCTTAATATGGTGGTATTAAGATGTGGGGCATTTGGTAGTTGATTGGGCCATGAGGGTGGAGCCCTCATTAATGAGGTTATTAAGGAGTTTACTGCCCTTAGAAAAGAGCACAAGAAGCCTGTGTGCCCCTTCTGCTACCTAAGGACACAGCTAGAAGGCACAAAAGAGCGCATCCTCACCAGAAACTGAATTTGCTGTGCGTATGTGGAGATCTCTTGGTGCCTTGATCTTGGGCTCCCCAGCGTTTAGAAGGTGAGAAATACATTTCTATTGTCCATAAATTACCCAGTTTAAGGTATTCTGTTATAGCAGCTCAATTGACTAAGACACTGAGTAAAGCAGATTGACCTGAATAGGCTACAAATGGAAAGGGAAACTCTTCCTGCCTGACTGTGCGATCTGAGACATCAGTCTTTTTCTGTCTTCTGACTCAAATTAAACATCAGCCCTTTGGAGGTCTCAAGCCTACTGGCTTTCAGACTGCAACTCACACCGTTGTTTCTCCTTGCCTCTAGCTTGCTGAGTGCAGATTTTGAGACTTCACCACCACCAAAATTATGTGAGTTAATTCCCTACAATAAATCTCTGCAGACATAAATAGGTAGGTAGGTAGGTAGGTAGATATATAGGTAGGTAGATAGATAGATAGATAAATGATACATAGATCAATCCTGGGATCTATTAGTCTACTATCTCTAGAGAGAAAGGGAGAGACCTACATGTACATACACACACACACACACACACACACACACGTGACTTTTGAACACTGCAGGGGTTGGGGTGCCAACTGCTCTTGCAGTCAAAAATTCACATAAACATTTGGCTCCCCACAAACTTAACTACTAGTAGCCTACTGTTAACCAGAAGCCTTGCCAGTAACATAAACAGTCAATTAATACATGTTTTGTGTGTTACATGTATTATACAGTGTATTCTTACAATAAAATAAGACAGAGAAAAGAAATGTTATAAAGAAAAGGAAGAGAAAATACATTTACTATTCATTAAGTGGAAATGGATCATTGCAAAGACCTTCATCCTTGTTGTCTTCACATTGAGTAGGCTGAGAAGAAGGAGAAAGGAGAGGGATTGACCTTGCTGTCTCGGGGTAGCAGACAGAAGAGGTAGAGGAGGTAGAAGGGGAGGTAGCAGAGACAGATACAACTAGTGTAATCCTACAAAAAAAATTGCAATTTCGGTCTGACTTTTTTGCTTTTGCATTTCCCTAAAAATGTTTCTATATAGCGCCAATCCTTCCACCATTTACTTTAGTTCCAGTGACTATATCACAGAAGGTTCCATGGCATAAAGCAATCTTGAATACTCAGAACCCTTCTGCCAGATTGTCTGATGTTAATTTATTTTCTGGCATTGCTTCTTCTATAACTTCATCATCATCATCTGGCACTGGTTTGGAAGCACTCATCTCCATCAAGTCATCTGTTAATTCCTCTGGTGTGTCTATTATTTCTTGAATTTTCCAACATCCCTATCTTGACATTCTTCACACATTCTCCTCTTATTTTTTTTGTTTTTTGCCATACTCATAATCTCTTATGATTTCCTTAATTGGCTCTGTCATAAATCTTGTGAAGTCATATACAATTTGTTTGGACAAGGTTTCCTTCGGCAGGAATGTATCATTTTTGGCTTGATGGCTTTCACAGCTTTTTCTGTAACAATGATAGCATATTCAATGATGTAGTCCTTCTATACTTTCATGACGTTCTCTTTATCAAGTATACTAGTCTGTTTTCATGCTGCTGATAAAGACATACCCAGGATTGGGCAATTTACAAAAGAAAAAAGCTTAATAGACTTATAGTTCCATGTGGCTGTAGAAGCCTCACAATCATGGTGGAAGGCAACAAGGAGCAAGTCACTTCTTACATGGATGACGGCAGACAAAGGGAGAGAGCTTGTGCAGGGAAACTTTCATTTTTAAAACCATCAGATCTTGTGAGACTGATTCACTAACACGAGGACAACATGGGAAAGACCCGCCCCGATTATTCAATTACCTCCCACTGAGTCCCAATACCTGGGAATTCAAGGTGAGATTTTGGTGAGGACACAGCCAAATCAGGGTAATAAGGGTTCTCTGACGTAGTATTGATAATCCTCTCCAGGGTACTGTGTTTAATGAGCCTTAGCACCCTGATATAGAGAGTAAATTAAAGATGTGTGTTTGGGGACAAGTAGACCACTTTAGCACCTTCAGTGTTTAATTCATAGAGTTCTGGGTGGCCAGGGGTATCGTTCAATATCAAAAGAACCTTAAATGGCAATCTTTTACCATCAAGGTACTTTCTGACTTGAGGGACAAAGCATAAAATGGAGTCAATCCAGAAAAAGGGTTCTCATTGTACAGGCCTTCCTGTAGAACCAATAGATTGGCAGGTGATGTTTAACTTTTCCTTTCAAGGCTCCGGGGTTAGCTGCTTTATAGAAAAGGGCAGTCCTTATCATAAACCTAACTGCATTTTCCCAAAACAATAGAGGTAGCCCATCTCTTCCTGCCTTCAATCCTGGTATTCACTTCTTTTTCTTACTAAGAAATGTCCTTCATGGAATTTTTTTTTCAGAATATGGCACCTTTATTTGCATTATAAAACTATTTAGTACACCTACTATGTACCCCCAAAATTTTAAAAAATTAAAAACTATTTAGGCAGATGTTCTTTCTTCTCAGTGATTTTCTTAATGGTGCCCAGGAACTCATCGGCTGCCTCTTGGATGGCAAAGGCTGATTCTCCTGTTATCTTCTCATTTTTAAAACTAAACATCTTTCTAAAACTATGACACCACCTTTTGCTGGCATTAAATTCTCCAGCTTTAGTTTCTTTATCTTCCTTTTGCTTTGCTTTGTTATATGACTTGACTTTTTTTCAAATAAAAATAGTCTTTATGTATGCCTTTCTTTTTTTTTTTGAGACAGCAGTCTTCCTCTGTCGCCAGGCTAGAGTGCAGTTGTGTGATCTTGGCTCACTGCAACCTCCACCTCTCAGGTTCAAGCAATTCTCCTGCCTCAGCCTCCCAAGTAGCTGGGACTACAAGTATACACCATCACGCCTGGCTAATTTTTTGTATTTTAGTAAAGACGGGATTTTGCTGTGTTGGCCAGGATGGTCTTGATCTTCTGACCTTGTGATCTACCCACCTTGGCCTCCCAGTGCTGGTATTACAGGCGTGAGCCACTGGGCCCGGCCAGGTATGCCTTTCTTATAGCAATTCTGCACCCACATAAAAGCTCCATTTTCAATATGAGATAAAAAGGTATTTTGTAAAAAGTATATGCTTTTAATACCTGCTGGTATGGCTGCAGTGACAGCCTCATGAATTTTCTTTCTTTTTAAACAACGGTCCTTATACTAGATTCATTTATCTTGAAACAGCAGGCAATCACAGCTGCAGACCTCAATCTATGGTAAATATCAAGCAATTCAACTTTTTCTTGCCATGATTTTTCTCTACTTCTTCGGAGCACTTTCAGCAACACTAATGACGCTTCGTATAGATCCCGTGGTGTTATTCAAGGTTTACGATATTTCCCTAAATACAATTAAACATATGTAAGAACCATGAGGGGTCACTTTTTACTGTTATATGCAATTTACTGGAGACAAAAGTGCTTCTACAGAGATAATTGGTAACATGAAATTTTAAGCAGATACTTGCAACACCTGAGCATACCACAATAGCAACAAGAGGTGGCTATGAAATTTTTGCAGAAGCACAGTATGTACTATAGTTAATTTTATGCAGTAATGATTTAATACTTTGTTTGATCACATTTCTCTTGACTGAATGGTGCCATGTACAGTCTGTATTTGTGTTTGAAAGTTTTAGTAAATTTTAACTTTTTATAATAGATTTGTATTTTATCATAACAGATTATAAAATATAGTGTCTACTTAGCTTTTTAAAAATTTTTTTAAATATTTTCAGGCCTTGTGGTTCAACTGCAAGTTTTTAAAAATTGTCACAAATCTCCAAAACAGATTTCCATATTTTTTGTGTGCGTGTGTAATTAAACTTGCAATTCAAGGATTGATTTGAACCCTAACTATTCCAATGTATAAATCAGTATAAATATGTAGTTTTTTTTTTTTTTTAACATGAGAAGAGGTGGGAAGCTGGTTTTGGACAAATCTGAAGCTGTTTCTAACTAAATCTATAGTATTGATTGGTTTCCTTGATACTTGTATATCACATAAAAATAAAATATAATAGTATATTAAACTGGGAGCCCAGAAACTGGTTCTAGGATTAAATTTTTATTAAAAATTATACGTGAGACATTCAACAAATCACTGAACCTTCTGGGCTTCAGTTCCCTCACTTTGAAAGTGAAAGGATGAAATACTTAGTTTCAGTATACTAAAGACATCTTGATCGCTAAACTGCTTTCTGGAAATAAGCCAAAAGCAACAAGGAAATTTAGCAATACACACTCCCATATGTAATTATTAAAAAATCTCATTAACTTCAACCATAATATATACATAGAAAGGCTGGCAAGTATAGTGAAATTGGACCAGAGAGAGGGAAGACACTCAAAGAAGATGGTTACTGGAGCTCAAAGGGTGACAGTGCCGAGTTCTTTGACATAGGTGATACACATCAAGGTAAGACATGATAGAACAAGATGGATGGCCTCAAGGAGCTCCTGAAACCCCACAAGATACCCGTCCATTCCAGGGGATGTGATGACAAATGAAAACACATGCAGACAAGCTAACTCTCCAAGAAACTATCTGTTTGGAAGACCAGATGAGAAACTGAATGATAAGCAGCTTGAGGCTGTCAATCTTTTTCCTCCATTGAATGTAAACTCCATGGAGGCAGAGACTTTTTTTCTGATGTATCTATTGCTATATTCTCCAAACCTAGAGCAGTACCTGGCACAAAGTAGGTACACAATAAATATTTATATAATGGATGGATGAGTAAAGAGAGTTTGCAGCTAAACCACACAATTGACATGCTTGTATGTGTGTTTGCTACGAACTAAAAAGTCTTTCTACTGTCACAGAGTCCTTATCTGGCCCCTTCCATATTCTCATACATTATGATGTCACCTCCAGAGAAAAATCTCCTCATTATCAAAAAGGAATTAACATAGGATTTATGTAAAAATAGCCCTATTTACATAAAGAAGAAAAGCAACAGAATAAATAAAAATCATAAAAAGGACAACCACCAAAATTTTTTATTGCCCTAGAACAGATAAAACTTGTGACCAAAGTTATCTGTGAGTTCATAAAACTTAATGAATAAGGTGATCTTTCTGAATTAAGACTCCTAAGCTAAGATACAAAATCTGAAGTTAAAAAAAGGTAATAAATTTTTTTTAATTATTTGACAGATCTTGGGATAGAAGTAAAAATGAAAAATAAAAGCATCAAAGAAATAAAGGCTTTGGGTCAGGCACGGTGGCTCACACCTATAATCTCAGCATTTTAGGAGGCCGAGACTGGTGGATCACCTGAGGTCAAAAGCTTGAGACCAGCCTGGCCAACATGGTGAAACCACCGTCTCTACTAAAAATCCAAAAATTAGCTGGGCGTGGCAGCAGACACCTGTAATCCCAGCTATTTTGGAGACTGAGGCAGGAGAATTGCTTGAACCCAGGAGGCGGAGGTTGCAATGAGCTGAGATTCCGCCATTGCACTCCAGCCTGGTTGGAGTGAAACTCCATCTCAAAAAAGAAAGGAAGGAAAGAAGGGAAGGAGGGAGGGAGGAAGGAAGGAAGGAAAGAAAAGCTTTGACATAAATGTCAATGTTGTCCATGTTGAAAATATAAGTCAACAAGTCTGTTTTTAAAGACAATAACAGAACAAATGGGGAACAAAAATGTCCACAGTTATATCAAAAGAACCTTCTGAAGTAAAAGATTTGAATCTGTAGAATTAAAGGACACACAATATTGCAGCAGACATATTCATTAATATCCATGCATAATCTGATAAAGTTAAGGAACTTCAAAGAAAAATAAAGAACCCAAGAATATCCAAAAAAGGTGAGGGAATAAATATCTTATCTGAAAGCAAAAGAA